ATTTCTCTGGAGGCTTTTACAAAAATTTCTAAAATTTTGCACGCAATTGAGATAAGGGAAACTGGTCTGTAGTTTGATGCTAACAGCTTGTCGTCTTTCCTAAAAATAGGTGTTTCATCCGTGTATCGAAATTGGAAAGGCAGTGTGCCGGAATGTTTTAAAAATTAAATTTAGTGGAAGCGCTTGTGAATCTGAACAGTGTTTAAAAAATTTTAGGTGAGCAAGATCAGGTCCCACTTTGTATCACATCTTATATCAGATCCCATTTTATATCATATTTTATATCTGTAGTTTTAACATTTTCAATTGTAATTGTAGCAAAATCGAAATCAATTTTACCATTAAATCGGTAAATCAATTTTACCATTAAATCGAGAAGGAAAAACAGGTAGTTGTCCATCACCCTTCATTATAAAAACAGCACGAAACTTGTTGTTTAGTACATCGGCAATTAAAGTTGGTCACTAAAAATGCAACCATTATTTTTTTTAATAGCTTTTATAGAATTTTTTACAGCTCTTTGATTATTAATATAGCGATAAAGGATTTTAGGAGTTTTTTGGACTTGTCAACAAGGTTTATTTTATATTTTTAGGATTTCGAAATTTCCTAGTTAACTTGTTTGCAGTATTCTTTGTATAGGACATAAACAATTTTAATTTTTTGTCACTCCAGTCTTTTTTTTTTTTTTTTTTTTTTTTTATATCATAAACTCATTTTATTTCTTATAAGATTCTTTAAATCACAATTTATTCAAGGAGTTGTTCTTTTTCTTGAATTTAAAATTATTATAAAAATTAATTTTTCACGTGCTATAGATAAATGTAATAAAAGAATATTGTACATATTATGAACAGAAATTTGATTAAGCAACTATTCTAATCAGTTTTTATCAAATTTAATCAAAAATTGATGAAATTATCAAAATATATTATAAAAACATAACGCATAAGTTTATTTCCAAAACTTTTACGTTAAAAAACAGTTTTTGCATAAAAGATCCACTATAGGATTATAATCTGCTCAAATCTTATGTTATCTTTGAATTTTCTTGCTCCGGCTCAATGCCAGTTAAATTGGAAAAACTCCTATAATAACTAAAGTTATATAAAAAAAAAAAACACTAATAAATAACTAGCACGTAATAAGTTAATGTCTTATCGCAGATAAGACATTAACTGCTAACAACAATTAATAAGTTTCTTAATTTAATTTTTTCTGATTAAAATAGTTTCTGTGACCCAATGAGAGAAACTTTATTATATTACTGTCTTTAACCCTACATTTCTTGGTTTTAAAGGATGAGTCTTTAAAGCTCTTTTATATGAGAAACTGTTTTAAATAAGAAAAAAAACCGGGTTAATTTACACCTATTTTAAATTAAATACCTGTTCCCTCTATCTAACATTTTTTTTTATTTAAAGTTTATTTTGATTTACGGTGCAACCCCTTTTTTGGAAAATTTTGAAAAAAGATGTGAAATTTATAACTGTTCTTTTTGAATCTCGAATGATATTAGTTTTATCAGTTACACAAAATATTTTCAAATTAAAATCTAATATAAAAAAAGTTCTTTCCGCAAGTTTATACTTCCAGCCTTTTTCAAAAAACTCTATTTTTAAAAAAGAGCACACATCACACATCACACTTCACACATCACACATCACACATCATTTGATAAAAGTTACATCATAAAAAGTTGTGGATTTATGTAGTAATAAATTATACACTTCATCTAATGACTTTGGCATTCTTACAAAATTAGCTTTAATAACATGTGAATACAAAAGTAGTTTACAATATAAAGTTGAAAATAAAAAAAGTATCAAAATTTTAACGTAATTTTTTTAAACATCTTCTAACTTTCTCTTTCGAATAATAATGTTAATGTAAGAAAAAAAAAAATGACCCTCTGAAGTAAAATTTAAAATACTTTTCTTAATTGAAATTACATTTTAAAGTCTCTTTAAGTGTTTATGCTTTGGAATGTTTTTTGTAATTATTAGGGCAGTCCAAGAATACTTAACAGTCTTGTCACAGAGCCGTAATCAATTAGTCAGTTAAACAGATTTTTTTTTTCTACATTTTTCAGCTTTTATAAAGCGATTTACTGATTTACAAATTATTATTTGCAAGATTTTTAAAAGTGCAGTTGTGTTCAAAAACTATTTTGTGTCAAGAAAAATATATTGAGTCACTTTGAAATAAAAAAGTTGAGTAAAAGGGGAGTCATTTCATCCCTCGGCTTCGCGAAAATTACGAATTTTTAAGAGTTGTTATTATATTTTTTCCTAGCCTTTTTTGATCTCACTGAGTGGAAAAGCTTTTTATATTTAAAGCTTTTTTTTAATTAGAATCTTTAGGTCTTTTTCTTTTATTTTCATTCTTTGGTATTTTATTTTTTCAATAAAATAGTCTGGAAATTAAGCTATTCGATGCCATCATGATGCGGGGCAAAACGAGACATTCTGTTTGTATTTTTTTTGCCGATATCTAATATTATGTTTATTTAATTTTTTACATTAAAACAACAACCAAAGCAAATATTAATATTTACATACTGTAGATTTAAATTTATTATACTGTATTTACTTACTTTTTATTTTGTTAATTGAAATGTTTAGTTGTTATCCAATATAGAATTACGTTTTATATTTTGTTAACTTATATTTAAATATAATAAATATTTAATCAAATTGAAGCAAATAATTACCTGATGTTTATAATTACTATGTTTGTATTTTATAATCTTATTGTATTGTAATGTAATAAAGTAAGTAGTATATAAAATATATAGTGAGTAGATTATAACATAGGTTATTGCAGTACCTATAAATAAAATACAATGAATGTTATGCGTGCTTTAAATACATAAGTTTAATATATGCATGTATGGTTTTATTAGTTCTTGTAGTGTATATATATATATATATATATATATATATATATATATATATATATATATATATATATATATATATAGGTGGAGTCAATTTATATAAGTGGAGTCAATTTTCAAAATGCACAACCTGGGCTCATTCGGACTGTTGTTTGTGACTAGTGACAGTTTGATTATAGCTGTAATATATAATAAAATATATTTCTTGCTAATCCTCTTAAAGATATGTTTTTTTTAACTTTATTTATTTAAATTACTAAAACAAAAAATCTATCTCATTTTGCCCCGGTATGCGGGGCAAAATGAGACAGAATAGGTGCTGTCAATAAATGATCTCTGGTGACCAAACTATACTGCAGTTTTGCAACTCATACTTTTTAGGCTTCAAGTAGGATCGTAGAAGAATTGAAAAATATCAATTTATTTTTTCAAAAGTTGTTAGAAGGGCCGTATTAGATATATTAGCGCTTAAGTGTCTCATTTTGCCCCTCGTTACACTAAATAAAATGAACATCTAAAAATCATTAATAAAAATTGCTTTTGTTTATTAAAAAGATGAAACATTTTGTTTGTTAAAACTAAAAACAATCTTATATAATAATTGACAGCCCCTTAACAATTTATTTAATTTTTTCCATTTCATTTTTTTTTTTTTTATTTTACTTTTCCTTAAATGGAATCTACTTCACACAAGTAAATATCACTTTAGGCAAGGACAATTTTAAGGCTTAATAATCCTTGTTGCGATTGTTTTATATTTTTAAATGACCTTTTTTTTTTTACTCGCTTTCTTTAAAAAAAATGTGTTTATCTTTTCATATTCAGTGTGTGAAAAAAAATGTTAAAATTACCTTAGATTGAAAGTTTCACATTTCTTTTTTTTTAATACCGTGGTGGAGAAAATGGCTTGAGTTTTTTGTGTGTGTGTGTGTGTGTTACTCTGGGTTGTACTTTCACATATTTAAAATATAAAAAAATGACCTATCACTATATAATATCACTATAATCAAGATTTTTAAGTATCATTATAAGTATCAAAGACAGAATAGGTGCTGTCAATAAATGATCTCTGGTGACCAAACTATACTGCAGTTTTGCAACTCATACTTTTTAGGCTTCAAGTAGGATCGTAGAAGAATTGAAAAATATCAATTTATTTTTTCAAAAGTTGTTAGAAGGGCCGTATTAGATATATTAGCGCTTAAGTGTCTCATTTTGCCCCTCGTTACACTAAATAAAATGAACATCTAAAAATCATTAATAAAAATTGCTTTTGTTTATTAAAAAGATGAAACATTTTGTTTGTTAAAACTAAAAACAATCTTATATAATAATTGACAGCCCCTTAACAATTTATTTAATTTTTTCCATTTCATTTTTTTTTTTTTTTATTTTACTTTTCCTTAAATGGAATCTACTTCACACAAGTAAATATCACTTTAGGCAAGGACAATTTTAAGGCTTAATAATCCTTGTTGCGATTGTTTTATATTTTTAAATGACCTTTTTTTTTTTACTCGCTTTCTTTAAAAAAAATGTGTTTATCTTTTCATATTCAGTGTGTGAAAAAAAATGTTAAAATTACCTTAGATTGAAAGTTTCACATTTCTTTTTTTTTAATACCGTGGTGGAGAAAATGGCTTGAGTTTTTTGTGTGTGTGTGTGTGTGTGTTACTCTGGGTTGTACTTTCACATATTTAAAATATAAAAAAATGACCTATCACTATATAATATCACTATAATCAAGATTTTTAAGTATCATTTAATGCTAAACCAATAAGATTTTGCGCTTTTACTTCAAAAGAACGTTTTTTCTCGTATAAAGAAAAAAACTCTAATAAAGAAAATTTTTGAGCAGAGTATTCTTTCACAATCAGATAATTTATGTCAAAAATGTATTAAATATGGATTAAAAAGAAAATAAAAGTTTCAAACCATTATACGAGTTTATTATCGTTTTACAAAATAAACATATGAACAGTGAAAAATATATGCCTTCTTTTTGTTGTTGTTCATTTTTTCTCCTATAAATATATTGAGAGTTATGTACGGTTTACATGCTTGAAGAACAAAATAAATATCGTTATACAATAACACAATATTTTTATATATAAATTTATTTAAAAAACATAACGCCAAAAATACTTATTCTATTGAGAAAACCAATTTCGTTAATAGAACATATTGGTTGAATAAACTGGGTATAAAACATTTTATTTGCTTCCTATTATTTGTCAGTGCATTTATTTACATTATTGTTTGTGTTTGCTTGCTTGGTGTGGAATTTGTAATCAGTACCTAGTGATTCATGTTTGGATTTTACTTTGTGTCTATTTCTTTTTATCATCTTCCTTCATACATATTTCGTGAATTCCAAAAAGACTGAAAGTCCATGAAAAAATATTAGGGAAGTAATTAAAACAGGAAAAAATAAAAAAAGCCTAAAGTACGATTAAATCTGATCATTTACTTACCCAACTTGCTTGCATATAAGCGCTTGTTTGCAAGGTCCGCATGCTTTTTGTACTTGAGCTCCAACGTAAACATTTCTGAAAAAGTTTATTGGTCCGCAAACCATGTTTTCAGCCAATGGTGGCTTGCATATAGATATATGAGGGTTTATGGCTGGTTCTCTATCAAAAATTAAAAGTTTTTTTTTTTAATTATTATTGAAATTGATAAAATAATAATTTTGTACATTTGATTTACAATTGTTTTATTCTGTTTTATAAAAATTAAAACCGAAATCATTACAAAGAAAAATTAAAAAACAATAAAAATTATGATAGGTAAATAGTGGAAAAAAAAATCAAAACAAAAAACAATAATGATATAACAAACTAGATTGATAAAACTTATCAGTCTAGCTTACTGTATTTAATAAAATAAAATGCGTGTTTATTTAATAAAGATTTTCTTATTTGATAAACGTTTTTTATTATTATTATTTTTTTTTTCGGTAAGGGCAGCATCCAAAATAAAAAAAATAAAAAAATCGTATTAAGTTTGATTTTTAAAATTGTACGAGCTTAAATGCTTACAAACATTGTTTGACACTTGTAAGATGCTCATTTCTAATGTTTTTTTTTTTTAATAATATATAAATAATATTTGAGTTTGTTGAAGTCGGGTATATTGACAAAACATCCAATTTTGTTGTCATATGGAGTTTCTCTAAAATAACTGGCATTAAAGCTAGTGCGTGAAAATTTCAAGACAAAATCGATTTGAGCAGCAAAGGAAACGGATTTTTTATGAAAAAAAAAACTATTTTGTTATTAATTTTGAATAGAAAATATACATTACGTTATTACCATATTTTTTATCTTGATAATTTTATCAATTTTAGTTTTATAGTAAAATTATATATATACTAGCATATACTAGCTGACCGGACCCATAAAAATACGGGTCTTTGTAATCCTATTCCATACTAACCTTTTCTATATCTTTTCCTTATATATATATATATATATATATATATATATATATATATATATATATATATATATATATATATATATATATATATATATATATATATATATATATATATATATATATATATATATATATATATATATATATATATATATATATATATATCCTAGCAGTCCGGAACTGTAATATACGGGTTTTTACTAAATGCGGTAGTCGTGTAGTGGTAGAGCGCTCGCTTCATAAGCGAGAGGTTCCAACTTCAATCCTTACCACGTCTCTGGTGCTCCCGCGCTAAAATTGTCTCTACGCGCAGCGACCTTGTATGTCAAGGTTCGTGTTTCGGAGTTATAGAATTGAGAGAGGGTTGTAACCATGATTAAGTAGTCTTCTCGTCTGTATTGACCTTCTTGGCCTTGTGGAGATGAATTTACATTAAAACAAAACAAAAAACTGAGAATTTATACACTTACCTATTTCACATTAATTATTTCTATACTGATTTATTATTAACATTAATTTTTTAGTAAAATAATTTATTCATTCTAAAAAAATCTTAAGGAGCAAAAAAGTTCACATACGCATCTTTTCCGCATAGTAGAGCTTACAAGAGATTTATAAAATAGTTTGTTTTTTTCCTATACCAATATCTTTGATATGCATTTAAGAGAAAAAGTTTAGCCCGATGTCATCCTTGTTGTTTCTAAGGGTTCAAGTCTCTCTAGCGTAATAAATTTTTAAAGTTTTCAATCTATCTGATTGTTATACAGATTTTTCAATCTATCGATTGTTATACCGCCGGTATAACTCAACTTATGTTTAAGGCGTTTTCACTTAATGACGTTTTTGCGTAACGCTATACAAATGTGGGAACTAAGTAGATGACATAATTTTAGCAAACAGAAGTTATCACGAGTTATAAGAATCATGGCAATTCTAAAATCGAAATTTCAAGTTTTTTACTTGGATGAGACAATATGTTTTGTGTTTTTTCAGTCTTGTCAATATTTTGAAATACATTAACATAAATACAAAAAATTAAAACAATAGTTTAAGCAAAAAAGACTTTTAATTATTAGAAAAGCTTTCTTATGTTACACACGGTCCTGTATAAAACGCTATATTAATGAATTTTTTACTTTTGCATGTAACATATTTATTTATATATAAGCGCAACTTTATTCTTATTCAATAAAGCTGAGCTTGTTTAAAGAATCCGCTTGAAAAGTGTTGATTAATTGCAATAGGTATAAGAGTTTAAAAAATGGTTTGTTTTTCAATAATTGAAAATACGGCCAGATTGAAAATAGTTAAAAGTATATTGTGTTATGAGGTGGATTTAAACCCTCGCAAAATGACACCAATGAAGTGCATTAAGCCACTAATCTTTTGAATCTATGCATACAACTATTGCATGCATAAATTCAATAGATTAGTGGCTTAATGCACCAATGAAGTGTATTAAGCCACTAATCTATTGAATTTATGCATACAATTATTGAATGCATAAATTCAATAGATTAGTGGCTTAATGCACTTCATTGGTGTCATTTTGCGAGGGTTTAAATCCACCTCATAACACAATATACTTTTAACTTTTTTCAATCTGGCCGTATTTTTTTATGGCGGAAAATAAATATCGCAAAAAAGACTTTTAAATTTTAAAATAATGTTTTAAATATATATGATAAATGTTTTAATATGTTTTAATATTATCTAATTTAATGATAGTTGCTTTTTAGATATTTGCATACACTTTCATTTATATTTTCTTATTAAAAAAAGTGCTGCAACTGTTTTTTACCTTGGTTGCAATGGCAATATTATAAAGAGATATTGGTTTGATCAGCTACTCCATACATACATACATACATACATACATACATACATACATACATACATACATACATACATACATACATACATACATACATACATACATACATACATACATACATACATATATATGTATATATATATATATATATATATATATATATATATATATATATATATATATATATATATATATATATACAGTGGCAATTCTACGAACAAAATGAGGATGGGGGGGGGGGTGAATCCTAGATAGAGAGAGAGAGAGAGAGAGAGAGAGAGAGAGAGAGAGAGAGCATGTAGAAAAAGATACAATAAAAGTATGTAACTTTGTTAAATGAGAAACCAGACAAAAAAGAGTTTTAGTTGATGGAACTAGAAACAATAGCTCCTTGAACGGTAACCATGATCTACAAAAAGAGCGGTAACCTCCAGTAACGAATCCAGCATTTTTTGATGTTTGAGATAGCTAACTTCTAAGCATGGAGCAAATTTCAAACATTTGTATGTTTATACTATGTCAAATAATGATGCTTTGCAAAAAATTGCGATGATTAGAGGCTAGGAACAAAAAAAAACCTAAACCTCATCCCTTCGCCCACCCCAAACGTGGGCAGGGAGATGAGATGCAACAAGTTAAAAATATGAAACTTTTTCAGCAGGCAGGAATAAAAGATTCAGTCAAGCTTTTATTATATAAACTAGAGAGAGTTGAAAAGAATTCTGAAGAAAACTTTTGAAAGACTATGACAAGACTATGTTCTGAGGACCACAAGCCAAGTTCAAGTTGAATTGAGACTTTTGTAAGACTATAACTGGAATGCAGCCTAGACCACAAACTCTAGAAGAATATAATTCAGAAATGACTTTAACAACAGAAGCCAGAGTGATTTGGATTTCTAACCATGGGTTAACCTGTTTAACTGAAATAGCATGAAGAGCATGGTCATTAAATTTAAGAGTCAAATTAGAAGAAAGGTATTTTCATATAGTTCAGCCTTATCTTTGGGAGAGGCAATAAAATCAGACCTATGAATTAGAGACAGAATATTCAACTTACCTATGTTAATAACACTGTTGAAGATTTTCCAAAAGTCTTGAGAGTCTAACTTCTAAGATAAGATACAAGATTTAGTAAACTAATTTAATAAATCGGAGAAAATTCCAAACAATTGACAACTAGGGTTAATAAACATCTAATGTTTGTGAGCATTTAAGTTTATCTATTAATTTTAAATTTTTTACAAATTTATCTTTCTATTAATGTTTCTCTGTGATGACTTTAGTTTTAATTTTTATAAAATAGAGTTACAATTGTAAACGAAATTTTTCGAAAGTGTATTGAAATTTCTTAAGAATTAAAAACATCGTGTTTTTCATAAATGTATTTAATATTTATTGTTAACGATATGTTTAAGAAATACACTCATTTGTTTTTTAACATTTTTGTATTTAAAACGACAGTAAAATAAAACTACAATGCCAAATAGTCTTTGCATAAATATCATAATGCAAAAATGTACTTTTTTAAACTAAATGTATTTTAGAGCTATAAGTCTAAGACTGCCCAGCAAACATTGTTGTAGCGGATTTGAAGTAGACCTTTATCGGTATTTTGATCGATTTATTGGAATTTTGCTTATTGGTTACTAATTGGACCATTACTGGAATCCGCTATAAGTAACCAAAATGTGAAATAATAGTTAATCATCGGCTAGCCACCTTTGGCCGCTGCCACTAATATCCCGCTAAGTAACCGATAAGCAAAACTATGGTAGACCGCTTAAAATGCTTATATGGGTCCACTAAAATTCCACTATAAAATGTTTGCTGGTTGGTAGTGCTAAAAAGCTCTAGTCAAACTAATCAGTAAAAATATTCTAACTAAAGACCAAGTAACGATTATTTTTGCAACACATTTTAATTTGACACACGCGAATGTTTTTCCAAATAAAAATAAAATAGTGCTAAAATGAAACTGTAACAACAGGCAATACCTTACACAGCAAGCCGCTTTTCCTTCTCCAGCACAATCCTCGTGTCTATCACAAAATGTTCCTGGTTGTCCTTCAGAAACACCAGCTTTACATCTTCCATAAGTACACTGTCCTTCACAGCATTGGCCATTCTGTGTGCAGGCTACGTTCTCTTTTAAGCAATGAACACATAGAAACAAATGGCAATATTTTTCTAAAAATAGAAATCAATTTAGTAGTCTTTTTAACTTATTCAAAGTATATAAACATTTTCCGAACTTCAAGTTGATAATGGTTTTATAAGTTGGTTAAAAATTTAATTAAACTACTTTATTAACTATTCAAAAAAAAAATTTTTTTTTTTTTGGTTTGTGTAGATTCATAGTTTTGTTTATAATTTTTTAAAAATTTAGCTTTGTGTTTGCAATTGGAACAACAAAGAATTTTTTTAAAACAAGTAGGAATCTTTGAAATAATTTTTATAAAATCCTTATTTTATGACTATATAAAAATCTAACAATGCGTATGAGCAAAAACACATGACGCGTAAAAAACGCAAAAAATTTAATTAAAGTCAAACTTATGTCTAATTTCAAAATTTATCAATGGTTTTTAATTTGAAAGCCTAGTTCTTAGCAAAATTAAATTTAAAAAAAATATAGCTTGGTTATGATATACATTATGGTATATATCTTTGGCCAGTGTCTGAATAGGTTAGCCAGATATGTCAAGGGTTTAAAAAATAACAACAAAAACAAAAAAAACAGAAACTACACAGAACTTAAATCTATTATGGAGATTTTAGAGATTAGAATGTTCGAGATTAGAATGTTCGAGATTAGAATGTTCAATATTAGAATGTTTGAGATTAGAGTGTTAGAGATTAGAATGAAAGAGATTGTAGCTAACATTAATATTAGAGATTATACAAAAGAACTTCAGACATAACCGTGTTTTACATTACAAGATTATCGAATAGCTAAAATCTTGATTCAACAATATTAATTTAAACTTATCTTTTCATTACAGTTACAAAATATTTTCTCAATATAAAAATACCCGTAGAAATGTAAGGGAAAAGTATAAAAAAGACCATGTTTACAACATATCAATCAACCTTATCATTATTAAACATATCAAACCTAAACCATCTGAAGTATTAATATTGAGTTTTTGATCAACGAGTTATAAAAATTTATACTGATTTAACTTACTAAAGCTAAAACAAAAACAGTTTAAATTTATTAAAGCTTTGAAAAGCACTAAAAAAAAAGAAGTACCTATTTAAAAACGCAATATTAGCGTAAAATTGCGTTTTAAAAACCTTTTTTTATAAATTAATGCATGAATTTAATGTAAATTTTTAGAAAAAGGATTTATAGGAATCATCTGAACCAGATTTAATTGCAAACATCCTTAAAAAAGTATAGATTTATTTTAAACCCCTCCTTATCTAAATTCTAATATAACGATACTGCTACTGCAAAAAATATTGATTTAAGTTATACTAATACATTAATAATAAATTGTACTTTTAAGTGTTTTTCTAAACTTTCAGTGTAGTCTACTACATCTTTTTCAATGTTATCTACTACCTAAAAGCAATTATCACTTTTTAATCTTTTCAACTTACTCTCAGGGCAAGCTTTGTGGGCGTTACATTCTTGAGAGTAATATCCTGGAGCAAGCATGCGAGGCTGTATATCGCCTCTTTTTTCTAACGAAGGTGCGACTGGTTTTGGAACCTAAAAAATAAATATGCTTCTTATGTTTTTAAAAACCACGTTTTATAATTGACGTTTTAAATATCTTATTGGAAGATATATTTTATTTTCTCGTATTATAAGAGTTCAGAATTGTTTAAACTAACATTTACCTTTTTGTCTTCTGCATACGCAACAAAAATACAAAACGTATAGATAATAAATAGTTTCGACATTTTCGTTATATATCTTTATATTTTTTATAAATATTTGACTAGCATAAAATTTAATGAAAATCTTCCACAAGGTTGTTTATTATTCACAAAATAAGTTATTGATGAAAGCAATTTGGATGCGCTTCGTTGCACATGGCTGGGGCGCCTTGGTTAATAGTTGTTTTAAATTAGGTGCGGTTTCTCTGAACTAACATTGTTTTCAAAAATAAACATCATGATGAACAACTACACATCTAATTGATCTAATGAAAATGCGGAGATGATTGATCTAATGAAAATATGGAAGCACTTGATTTAATAAAAATACGGAGATGATGGGGTATTATTAAAAGTTAATAAAATCCATTATGTTTTTAAAAAACGTCAAGTTTTGTGCATTAAGAAATATAAAGATGGCAACGACAAAAAGATTATAGGGTTATCTTATCTTCCCTCATAATGCATGGTAACTAAAAATAAAAATGAGAATTTAAAATCCAAATTTTGTGAAATTTTTTTTGAAAAATGCAAAATAATTGAAAAATGTAATCTATTAATCTATGTAATCTATAAAATTTAAAAGTATATTCGATGAAGTTTAAAGATATTTTAAAGCAATTAACATGAAATAATTTATAGTCAAGTCGTGGCGCAGTGGTTAGATTTCTCGCTTAGAACCAAGAGGTTTGAGGTTCAATAGTGAAATAAGCGACATTGGAAAAAAAGAATGTGTTAACTTCCCTGTTAAATGCTTTTTTGCAGCGTTCTGAGATAAGACCATAAACACGTTTTTACGTTAGACCACGTTTTCATAAAATGTATAATATCTATTAGAATTCATTAAATTAAAAAAAAATAATAACTCAATAAGATTTCAAAAAAAAAATAAAGCAAAATTCAAAAAAATATTATTCACATATAGTTTTGGGCTAAACATAATTGTTAATTGAATATTTGGTACGGAACTTGAGCTGACTTTAAATTTTATAAGTTAATTTTTCTCAGAATATTAGTCTTATACTGTCTAAATTTCTGATACTATGAAGTTACATTATATATTCTGGTATCCCAACAGCATCCCTAATTTACTTACCTTTTCAAACAACATACTGTGTTAAACATATAAATTCAAAAAAAAATTTTTTTTGGGATATCTAAAGGAGGAATAGAAATTACCCTCAAGGGAAAGATAAGATACACCCTTCTTTGGTACACATTTGTTATTTTCAATTTGTTAAACGGCAGGTTTAAATATGAGAGGACGGCGTAGGTTCAATTGTAATTTAATTTAACTTTTTGTTTGTTTAATAGTTTTTTATTTTTTTTTTATACTTGTGCTGCACCAAACAATGTTTACATAGTTAAGGTAGGAATCAAGGACGTATTTGAGTTGAGACCATAGGGAGGGGGGAGAGGTCGAAACTAATTTATCTTTTAATACAAACTAAAAATAATTTACAGTCCATTACTTATAGCTTTGTTCCTGTTACTGTTACTCATTCGCGTTTTGCGTAAATAAAAAAAATTTAAAAGATTAAGGACTTATATAGCGCTTATTATAATTAAACTTAAGTTTAATTATAATAAGCCCTATATAAGTCCATATATAGGACTTATATAGGGCTTATTAAAATTAAACTTATAATTACTTATAAGTTTAATTTTAATAAGCCCTATATAAGTCCTATATATGGCTATATAAGTCCTTAATCGTTTTATTATTTTGTCCACAAATGTATGCATATTTTTTCATATTTGTTTCCATTTTTCTATAACTTGCTTTTTTTTTATATTGCATATTTGCTTGCATATTTGTTTCCATTTTTTTATTACTTTCTATTACTATTATTAAGTCCTATATAAATATAGGACTTATTAAATACATATAGACTCAAAACAAAATACATATAGACTCAAAAAATGCAAAATACAATAAAGTTTTGTAATAAATAATAATACAATTTACATTTAGTCATTATCAGTAACTACTTTGTTACTACGTTTAGTCATTATCAGTAATTACTTTATATCATGGTTAAATACTTAGTTTAAGTTAATTGGTAATACCACAGATAATACTAGCTCTGTTCACTAGGGATGTAAACAAAAACCACAGTAATACGGTTCTGTAGTAATACGGATACTACTGGGCGAATGCCACCTTAGTCCTCCCCTCAATACGTCCTTGGTAGGAATGAATAATTAAAATATGAATGAATAAATCATAAGTATAAGTTTTTAAACGAAAGGTTTTATAGATTAAACCAATATTTTTAGAAATTTAATGTTCAACTCTTTCCAAGTTCATTTAGAACTACATATGAGAAATTTATTTAAAGTTCATAAAACTTACTGGAATTCACGTTCCTGCAGCAAGGATTGCGATTTTGTTAAACGCGTTTTTGTTTTTTTGACGACGTTGTAAACACGAATAAAGTTTTAAATTTTTTCTTATACGAAAAAATATAAAAGAGTTTTTATATTTTTTTGTATAAGCTAAACAGTGCTTTCAAAAAAATAGGTGCAGTTATAAGTTTATCTTTTTTTCAAAATCGTAAAAAGTTATCTTTAGTTGCCACGGACATGTTTTTTTTTGGTGTTTTTTTTTTTATATGAAAAATATTCCTCTACAACTTATACATTATCAATTACAAGTTCACTTTAATTTAGTTTTTTTTAATTTAGTTTTTTTTTTTTTTTTTTTTTTTTTAGTTTGATCAAAAAAATCAAAAAAAAAAAAAAAATTAAACAAAAACTGTTGTAAAATATGATGACATTTTTAGCCATATTTAAAATCTGTTTAAGTACTCTAATAAGATCTAAAAGTTAAGATACACAGAAATGATTCGAAAAACAGCAAGCAAAGCAACAGTGACAAATAATAGGTTTGAAGATTAGCTCCATTATCAGTACCAGATAAATTGAAAATTAAAAGTTTTGGAGATTTGTGTTAGAAATACTCTGAAAACATTTAAATTGAAAGATGGTATTCAGTGCCACGCAGGATTCAGAAGGTTTAAAGTTATTGAACGGAAAAAAAAGTCTTGTATTTTGTCAAGTAAGAACAAATCCAAGGTTAACTTTTCATGAACTTACACGTTTAACGAAAACCATGAAAAATGTTATTCTTCGAATACGGTTACAAATATTTTAATTTGCGAAATGAAATATTTGTAACCGTATTCGAACTTACACGTTTAAGTATTTTTGAAAATAGAAAAAATACAGTGCTTGTTAAAGGCTTTAAGTCTGAAAAATAAAGTAATTGTTTGCTTGCTTTGAGGTTGTAAGGTAGCAATTGGAGTGTTGATATTTGGGACTACCTTAGTTTTAACAAAGTTAATGTGAGTAACATTTGTACGCTCTAAATCAAAGAACACACCTATATAGAGAAGCTAGAAAACTGATTTTATTAGAAGACTCTTTATTTATTTTTTATTTAAAACAAACGCAGCATCAAATTTAAAAAGCTTTGGTTTATTGTCATTAACATGGTCTTCTTTCATTTCAGATGTGGCACGGTTCATACTTTTTTTACTCAGTTTTATCATAAGCTCTTTATATTACTTTTTAATACCTGTTGAATAGTTTTTTTTTTTTTGTTAAATAATTTAAATTCATACACCGACTAAAGTTTTTTTAACTTGATACCCTCATCCGATTTCTCAGAAACTTATTTTCATTCTTGTGCTTTCTTAAACAATTTTCTAACACTACTTTCCTTTCAATTTACTAATCTGCTTGTACGAATATAAAACTTTAAACAAAAAAGTTTAAATTTTTATAAACAATTAGAATCTTAAGTGAATTTAATTAATGTATTAATTTCAGTTACGTTTTGTATAAAATTAAGTTACGATAAATTATTTACATTTTAAGTTTTAACAAGCGAAAAATTGTACAGGCATATAAACCAATGGTCAAAACAAGTTTTAATAAGTAATAATTCTTTTAATCATTTTTGATCAAATTTACTAAATTTATTTAGATATTCAAGCTAGAGCAAAATGTCAAATTTCAATGGTCTGATGCAGTATACATTGATTGAATGTTTAAAATAATGATATAGATCGGAATGCCGATCTATACTATTACTTCAAATTTGATTATATTTTACATTTCAAGAACATACGAGTTTTATCAGTTTGGCAGAGTTTTTTGCTCCGTTACTAAAACAGAGAGGCAAATATTTTACTTGTTATTGCTGGTTTTCAATACTCTTAATAAATTTTCACTAAACAAAAATAGAATTAGTCGATAAACATTTCAGAAACGTTTAACACACCAACGGCATCAATTCCATTACCAACAATACAACTTTTACCATCATATTATGAACCCATTACAGCAACTTCAAGTTTAAACAAGTATAAAACACTACCCAAGAAAATAAAAAAAAAAAAGAAATGGAATATAATATAAAGAGTTTTTTTTTTTTTTAAGAAAAAAGTTATTTTCATTTAAATAGAAGTTTAACCAATCTAGTATTTCAAACGTTGCCAGCCAAATAATAAAGAATAGAGTGTTAAAGAAAAGAAAAAGCAAAAAAACTCTGATAAATGAGGTAAAAAAGAAGCAAAAAGGGTTAGGTCAATTGTAAATAAAATCATCTCAAAATTTCCTTTAAAAGGAGAAGCTGAGGATAAAGAACAACTTTAGGCTGAGGGTTTATAGCTTTATTTATTTAGGCTGATATAATAAGCCTAAAGAAATAAAATGATTAAATGCGATAAGTCTATAAAAAAATCCCAGTTTTAAAAATGGGTTTTGTTTTCTATTAAATAATATGTATTCTCCATGCTTTTTGAACGAGAACAAAACAAACACTACAAAACACTTTATTTTTATCATTTACAAAAAATATTTTAATCAGATAATTTTTATTAAATCTTTTGAATATAGTACTTTATGAATCTTTTACGCGAAGACAAACATTATGTTGACCATGAATCCTATAAAATAAAAACAAACATTATGTTGACCATGAATCCTATAAAATAAGAACAAACATTATGTTGACCATGAATCCTATAAAATAAGAACAAACATTATGTTGACCATGAATCCTATAAAATAAGAACAAACATTATGTTGACCATGAATCCTATAAAATAAGCACAATTTATTAAACAATTTAATTTTTTAAAGTAATTTTTTAGAGTAAAGGACATAAATTATAAAACTGCTTTTAATTTTCAAATAAACATAAGTTTGTGAAAATTTTATTCGTAACTATCTACACACGAGAATATCGTTTTTAGTCTATGTTGATAATGATAGCATTAATTCTAATCATGTGCTAATAAAAACATAACTCAAACCCAATAATTTCTCCTTTTTAAATCCGTCAATAAAAACTTTATATAATATAAAATTTAAAAATATATTCATTCAACAAACTTTAAGTTTGTCATAAGATTAGACAAATTCATAACCAAAATTATTAAAATTAAAAAAAAATAATGATAAATAAAAAACATTTACAATTTTAGTTTTTTATAAATAACTCGATAAATTTGCCTCATAAATAAGTCAATAAAATTTTAAATTACGGTAATACTATAATGCATAACTTAATTACCCCACGGCTTGGCAAGATAATCCAGGTTTGCAAGGACCACACATTGGTTCTACATGAGCGTTGGTTGTTATTTCTTGATGAAATAAATTGATTGGACCGCAAGATTCATGTTCTTCTAGCATTGGTTTACATATAGAATGAAGACGGTTTATTGACATTTCTCTTATACAGCACATTAAACTCCCTTGACAACAAAAAATACGATAAAAATAAGATAATACGATAAAATAATACGATAAGATAATATAATATACTCCAACTAATACAATAATACGATAAGATAATACGATAAGATAATACTAATAATACGAGATAAGATGATAAGAATGATAAGATAATAATAATAATATAATAAGAATGATAAGATAATAATAATATATTGAAGAATTGATAATAATAATATATTGAAGAATTGATAATAATAATATATTGAAGAATGATAAGATAATAATAATAATACGATAAAATAATACGATAAAAATAAGATAATATACTCCAACTTAAATCACTGTTTTATGTTCTTTTCTGTTAAATTTTTTTTTACATATATATTTAAAAAAAAAAAAAATACAATTTAAAACTTTGCATTAATCTTTTGTACAGTATTAGAAGCAATACCTGTACAATCTTTAGAAAGGTCGCAGAATGTTCCAGCATCACCAGCTTTTACTCCTTTTGTGCAAATACCATATTGACATTCGGAGCCTTCGCAGCACACTCCTGATTATTATATAATACATCATACATATTGAGTATTATATACTACATATTGAATACAAAACTTTTACGTTTTGATTTTCAAAATCAAATATTTTCTTTTTAAGCAGATTCGTCTTAGCTTAAATAATATTGATCTAAGAAAGTTAACTTAATTAACAGTTAAATTTTCTACGTATTAAATATTTAATTATTCAAATAAAGATAGCTTTCACATAAAAGCAACTAAGTTACCGTTTAAGTTACAGGTTTGTCCTTCTTGGTGGCATTTATAACAAAACATTCCATCACAAAAGTAACCGGGAATGCACTGTTGATTGATATCGCATCTACCGTAAATATCACCAGGACAACATAATTCGTCTTTCTACAATAAAAAGAGTCACTTTTTATTCCGCCATATTGAACTGTTAACTGACAAACCAAAATATTGAACAAAACATATAAACTTTTTTAGCTTTGTCGTTTATCTCAGTAGATTGATCAACTTCAGATATACTATTTTTTTTTGAACTCATAAACTTTGTTTCATCTATGGCGAGTTGTAAAAAATCTCTCGCAAGATTTTCATCGTTTTGCATATTATTTCCGTGTATTATTAAAAATAGTCCGATTTCTATAAAAAATTTCAATGTCATTTTACGGTAACTTTCATTTCTTCTTAAAATTAATTCATTGACTTTATTTTAAGCAGCGTTTGCTGTACGCTCACTTTGAGTGTTTTCTGAAGATACGCATTTTTGATTTCTTCTTTTAGTTTCGTCTTCGCAGAAAAAGTTTTTATTTATTTATTAAACAATTAAAATGAATTTAAAATCTTCAATAGAGAGTGCTGTATAATACGTATAATACTGAAAAAAACATCTAAAAAAATATTCTGAAGGAAAGTTAAAAATGCATGTTTGGAATAATTTTAAAAATGCTTCAATTAAAAAATTATTGAAAGTTTCTCTGCCAGAATAACAGACGCAATGAAAACAAATTTTTTTTTAGTAAAACTGAAATGAGTTATAACTGTTTACTGAAAAGTTAGATGTTGAAGCAATTTTTTTAAAAGCAAGTTCTTTACTAGAAGAAAATATATCAGGTTGTCAAAGTAAAACATTTTTTTTTAATGAAAAACTTAACAAGTCCAAAAACTTACGCAACTTATTCATAATTAGGTAATTTAGATACTTTGACTTACAATCGGTTCGTCTTAATCAATTTTTTTGATTTAGTCGTACTGAAGTGAACCAATTGAACTATTTTATATCATTTTTGCAGCGAATTAAATGCATCGTAGTTAGTAAATCAATGACTGCTTAAAATTTATATCAATCTTTATATTTCTAAAAGACTTAACCCCGATAAATTTTATTTCATTGATGTAAAAAAAAAACCATAAATTCCGTTAGTGTAAAGAGAAAACCACAAATTTAATAGCTGTAAAGAAAAAACCATAAACAAAAACATAACAGTCAGAATCGGAATCATTGTCAGAATCAACTGTGCAGATAGCGTCGCGTCATACTCGATGGCTCGTAGAAAAAAACTCATCTTTTTCACATTTTTTTTGCAACTTTTGCAACACTAAAATAAAATCAGTGGCCCTTAATCCTATTATAAACTCTAAACTCTGCCAATCTGTAAAAGTAGTGAAATATTTTTTTAATTTAAATTTTCATTCTTTTTTAAAGAAAAAGTAAGTTTATAAGAAAGATCCAAAAAAATGTTATTTTAGTATCTATAACATTTAAGGTAGAATTCCTTTTTATTGGCAGTGCAAAGTATTTTTGATGAATCCCAACAAGCAAAGCAGTTAGCGAATAACTTGGGACATTTATTACAAAAAAACCCTGCAATTTCGCCGCGAACCTCGCTCACTACATAAGCTAACGATTAGCTACAACTTGTTATAAAAAAGTTGATGAACAACGATATAATAGATTTTTTAACTAGTTAGTGAATAGTCGCTAACTAGTCGTTAAATTATGTAACTAAATATCCTAGTGGCCAAAAGTTAAGCTAAATCAAAAATTGTTAATTTAAGATTTGTCCTTTAATTAATATTGTATTTTTACCAAAATGAAAAAAAATGATATACCTATAATCGAAAAACGTATTAAGGGGTCGTCCATATACGACGTCACGCAACTTATTGCAATTTTCGACCCCCTCCCTCCCCCTTGTCACAAGACATCACAAAAGTTTAGACTCCCCTAGAATATTACGTCAAAAGTTAATGAGCCCCCTCTTCTTAAATAAATGTTGCATTATTTCGATAGGTAGCTAAATATAAAACATTTTTTAAAATTATTATCATGTATGTATTTTTAATGGGAAAAAGACAATGGACAACGAAAATAAATGAAATTATAATTATATTTATTATTATTAAATTAAAATCAATTATTCTTTAGTGATTTATAAAATCGCCAAAAAGATATAGCATTTTCAAAATGTTTAAATGTAGTTTATTATATTTAAATATAATAGTAATTGAAACTTTTTTATATTACTACTATCAAGTAACTATTACCTCGCAGCTATTCTGCATTCTAAATGAAATAATTAAAAAAAATGAATCTTAAAATTATTTTAACAACTAAATACAAGTTTAAATATTTTTAACAAACTAAAATATTATTAGTAATTAAACTTTATTTGAACCAATTATAACAAATAATGAAACATTGAAACATGAGACATTGCTGAAATTAAAAAATTAGCAAAATCTATTTTCCCATGGTAAATAAAAATATTTTTTTAATGGAATAAACTGGTAGAGCGTTGACAACAGTATCCTAGGGAAAAAAATTGGTATGAAAAGTCATTTGGAATTGACCGATACGGATTTGAAAAGCGGGGAAGAATGTTTTAAATTTGAGCTGCAAACAGAGATGGAAATTGATGGCATGCTGGGTCCGTTGCTCTTTCTGGAATTATAACTCGTAACTCAGACTCTGTGTGTTCAATGTAATCTGTCTCTAATGGAAAATTATCTACTATCAAACCTGATCAAATTTCAGCAAGAGTGGTCCCTGCATTGTCACGAAGCGTAACACCTCTCTTGTTCAGATGGCTACCATGCGTTAAATTTTTTTTAAATATAAGAAAATATTTTATCATATAAAATATTTTATAGTTTTTAATATAAGAAAATATTTTTACATATAAAATGTTTTTTGCGACGTCGCATTTCTTCAACCCCCTCCCTCCCCCTTGTCGTCACCAAAGTCTGGACCCCCTCCCTCCCCTAGATGCGTTATGTCGTTTATGGGCAGCCCCTTATCACGCATATTTTGTTACATTTAACCGCGCCATCTAAAGCCATATGGGGTGGTTGAATTAGTGTCAGAACTGGAGGTCCCAGGTTCGAAGCTGGCATTGGCCATACATATGCATTTATAAGCGATATATGCAAGAGCAAGTTCTTGGCAAGTTAGGAAACTTCCTGGTAAAATACTTTTCCACGGTGAGATGTGATGAAAACGTCAGGACTTCTTGTAGCACCTAAATAACTAATAAAATAAAGGTTAAAAAAAAAAAAAAAATCTCAAACAATAATCCAAATAGAAAAGCAAATAGGATTCACGGATTTACAATGGGTTCCATCAGTAGCAACGGTAGCAAAAAGTTTGTCTTTGTTGATAAAACAAAAAAATATTCGGCGATCAGCGTGCTCTGTCTAAATTAAAATGTCGTAAAGAAGACTCTAGATTGTCATTCTTAAATTACTTTGTATATGTACGAGTCAAACAGTTTTATAGTCGATCAGATTTTATAGAAATTCTTTTTTATCAAAGTTAAATGTTTACAGTTTAAGAACAATAAATGAGCCTAACCGAATATGACCGCGAAGTTTTACTTCAGGAAATCCAACAAATTAAGTTTGCACTTGAATCTACTTCAGGCTGCCAGTTCAATGCAAGCAGTGAAAGCGATGAAAGTTATGAAAGTGATGATGATAAAAGTAATCTAAAAGGTTGTTTTTTTATTATAAATCTCGGAAACCTTTTTTTTCAAGGAAAACTTTGTATAGCTGCTACAACGTCACCATATATTGAAATTTTATTTTTATATTTATATAAACTTTATATTTATTTATTAAACTTTATATTTATTTTTATTGAAATTTTCAGTTTTATTAGTATTTAAAAAATATATTTAGCTAGACGACTGCAAAATATTGGGTTACTTTAGGTTCGGTGAACAGGTGTCAGTTTAGTATCAGGTGATGACAGTTACATTTTCCCATTCAAGTCCAATGCCTTAACTCTAAATTCAATTCTAAATGCACACAACTTGGTATAAAAGAATAAAAAGGTCCAAGTTTTGAAACGCTCACTTGGGCTGGGTATGGTTGCAAAACTCAAATATTTTTATTACTAAACAATTGTTTAAAACACAAACTAAATCCACATATTCTACATAAAAAACCCACTGTCTGGTATTGTGTTAAATTTTATTGAAATAATAAAGCTGTAATATTTATTCAAACTAAACAAGTAAAAATCTGAATAAAAATTGCTGTCAAGATAACTGTATTGCAGTTTGAATATATTTCCAAGGTTACAAGCAGTTAGCTCAACAGTACTATGATAAAGTATATCAGTAAAGTAACACTATTTTTCTTTTCTTTTTTCTTTATCAAAATATCATCTGTTAATCAAAATATCATCTGTTAATCAAAATATCATCTGTTAATCAAAATATCATCTGTTAATCAAAATATCATCTGTTAATCATAATATTTTATGTTATGATATTATGAAATAAGATGTTACAAAGAATCATTTATAATAAATATATTTATTCATCTTTTGAAATATTATTATTTTTAATTCTGCCCAATCACATAGCATAGCGTATCAAGTAATAGTTTTAATGGGTCATTCCATATGGAATCATCCAGACCATGACACCCTTACATCTCAGAATTTGTTCATTTTTACCTGACTTGCAGTCCATATTAAAAAAATAATAACTTGCAGTCCATATTAAAAAAATTTTAGTTAAAAATACACATGGGTTCCAGAGATATCGCCAGTTAAAATAATGCTGACTCAGCATTTTAGTGATTATCTGAAGCAACTAAAAAGCAACTTTGACATATAGTATCTTCATAATGGCTTGGGAAAATTTCCTAAAATTTGGTACCCTAATGAATTTTTACTTGCAGAATCCAAAAAAAGCACCCTCAAGACACGATTGTCTCAGGAAATGCCAATTTTGTTCAAAATTATTGATTTGTAAATTCATGATTTTTGGAGGTAAAATGAACACTATAGCCTGAAATCCCAAATAAAAAGTTTAATTGTATATCATTATTTTATCTTAGGTCTACTGAAAAAAATTAGATTCATCAATTGTCTCTAATACTTGATCAAAATTTGCGCTTAAAAATTGTGTTTTTTTAGAAAAATTTAAATTTTGTAACAAAAGCAATAGAACTGCTTTTTAAAACATTTATTTTAATAAAACGTCAAACATTGTTATTTATTGACTAGTTTAGGATGTTTATAATTATAGGCCAAGGGAGGGCCAGGGGGCCTCTGAACAACTCTGCTTTCCCCCTCACATGAATCTCCCAGGATTTTTTTTTAATGCATTAAATGATATAATAATAAATAATTATTAAAATTCAATTTAAAAACATAGTTTTTTTTTTAGTTTGAGAAACAATTTTTTTTCATTATCTACCTCTTATTTCAAAGTACTCAAAACTAAGATCTTTTCGCAATTTTAAAAATCATAAATTTTAAAACCAAGAATATTGAAATGTTTTTAACATTTAAACAAAAATAAAATATTTTAACAATCAATATCTTTAAGGTATTATTTAGTAGATTAATACTAGTATAGTCATTGACATAAGGTGAACAGTGGAATTTATTTAAACACCCTCGTTCTCAGCCTTTCATCCAAGGATTTGAAATTCCAAATGTAAAATAGGTAAATAAAATTACAACAAAATTAATTTAAACGTATTTAAATTTTTTTTGTAACCAACTGCTTATATTCTCCAAATCTAAATCAGATATGTTGTACGTACGACCAAATATTCTTGTGGATGTAGAAATTAGGCATATAACTTCAGAATTGAGTACCCAACACTTGTCATTTCTCATTGGCCTAAAGAAGTTTTTACCTGGTCCATGTGGATGCATGAATCTGACTTTAGTATCATGCTCACTTACATCTTCAGCAATTCCTACCCACCAAAGTCTGTCATAAAAACATGCAATATAATCCATTTTTTAATGTTTAATGAAATCTCTTTATTATGTTTGCTTTTTGGAATGATATCAAGTATTTCAATACATGTATCAATACTGGGTAATTCCACATCAAATCACCCACTCCATTGAACCATGTGTCTTCTTTTTGTTTTATATTTTGACACACGATTTCTATTTATAAAAAAATATTGCATGCAAAATTTCAGCTAAAAATGTCAAGCGGTTGACAAGATACAGCAAATTTAATTTGGACCTGGTTTCTCAAAATGACCCGGTTTTCATAACATTCTGAAAAGTTGTTTTCCTCAATAAAATAAGAAATAAAAATGGCAAAAATATAAAAATATACATTTATAATGGTTTTTTAATGCTGAATTCAATAAATGTACTTAAAATGCTGAAATGTTAGAGGAACATCCTTAAAAATTAATAAATCAACTAGTTTATATAATCTAACTTTAGGGCCCAATATCTTAAAACACCCCCGTCAAATTTTTTTTTTTTTTGCTTTCAATATTTTAAGCTAGTTATAATCTTACTAGGCACAAAAAATCTAACTGGAAAAAAAACTGAAACATATAGAACTTTAATTTTAAAGATGTATAACTTTTTTAAGAAATTCCTAAAAAATTTTTATAAATTCAATTAAAATAAATTATTCCTAATTTACAAAGTTACTTAAATATACAAGATTTTTAAAGGTATCGAATGTGCAAGTTATTTTGACTGTATTTGTAATAGTTCACAATATTGTTGCCATTTTACTTGCACTTCTTCTATTTCAACATTTTCAAACACATAGTTTCTACCAGAACTAGAGCAAGCTTGTGGAACAGATAGTTTTTTCAATATATTGATGTTAGGAATAAAACAGTGATCGTCTCATTCAGGCCAGTTAAAATAGATTGATGGACCTCTTTGGTGGAGAAACTTAACTTCAGCATCAACTTCTTCTAGGTTGATTTCAGTAACAATGCCGATCCACCACTTATCATCATAAACTACCGCAACATAACCTCCTAAAGTGACAGTATCAGGTTCAAATATATGTTTCTTTTTAAGATTGTGAATTATTGTATATTTAGTGTCTGTACTACACCTCTTCGCCCCAACCCTATTATCTCCAAGATGTATAAATTGATGAAAGCTACGAGTACCTGGTAGAGTTGTTACATCAGTGTACCTTTCTTTTTGCTTTTCACGTTGCAATTGTAAGTCCAATCCCTTTATGTAAATGAAGTTAACAGCCTTAATTTTCTCAACACAAAATTCATACATAGCCTCTGATGTGAGAATTTGGTTTCTGTATGGTCGTTTTAAACTTTCTTGTGCTGTTAACCTTTTTACACTACCACCAATTCCATCGCATGGTGACTTTCCGTGGGACGTGGCAAAAAAGTTCCATTCATTTTTGAGGGAATATTCTGTCTCTAGTTGGCATAGATTGTAAAAGCTTTTACAATTTTTGTACTGTCCTGCACAACCATCAGTGAATAAATGCAATTTGGATAAATCAAGAAATTTTGTTTTTAATATTGGTATAATTAGTTGAAATATCTTGTATACATAAGTTACATCGTGTGTAATGTCGTCTGATATAAAACAGTAAGAAATATGTTTCACTACACCATTTTCTTCTTTATAGTATATCACTAATGGATGTAAAGAACATTGTTGGGTGTTCCAGTGATAGCTCTGTATTTCATCTTGGACTACAAAAGCATAATTTTCAGCAAAGTCGCCAAGAATGATAATGTTTGAATTATCCATATTTTCTTTTAGTTGATTAAGGTATTGTGATTGAGATTTGGCAATATAAGAATGAGATTGTAGCTTTTCAAAACAAGATACCAATAGTTCAATAAACGTTGGAACATCTGTTGTTAAACTCAATAGTGTTGCACGATCAGTAGTTTGCCATTGTTTGTAGTGTATCTCAAAATCATCTTCGTATTCTCCAAAAATCTCATACAAATACATGGTGAGCAGTTCTTTACCAGGACAATTATCACACTGTGCAAGCATGCATTCTTTGTTTTCTACTGAGCAAACAGTTTTCAAAAGTAAATCCTTATACGTTAGTTCAATATTTAAGGCATCCACTAGCAAAATGGCATTTTGGTGATAAGAACAAACACAAACAGAATGTGTACCACTTGCACCTCGCAAAATGCACCACTTTGGTCTAAGTGAAGCAAATTTTGAGTAACTTATTTGTATTTCTGGATTGTTTTCTTTGTATAATACATATAGTTCCTTTAAATTACACAAAAGCAGTTTTTTTTGTTTGTGGACGTTCTTTTGAATGCTGACATAATCTTTTTTTCCAGGCATAGTTCGACATAAATCACTTGAGTCATAAAACAATTTAACTGAATCTTCTATTTCTTTATGTAAGACTTTACCCTTATACAATGGAGAGATACCTAACAATCCCTTTTTATTAAAAGTTTTTCTAGCCATCTTGGCCTGGTATTCTGTAACCGAAAAGTTATTTTGTACTTCTAATATTGACCAACTTGGGGGTGCCAGTGTTAGAAGTTGAACAATAGTTCGTTTGTCAGAACATAGAATTTTTTCTTTTACCAAGCTCATAATTTCATCAAAGTTTGCAGCCTTCTTTTTCATCCCATTGGTTTCATAACATAGTTTTGAGGAAAATTGAATTTCAATTTTTCTAGTAGCGTTATATACGCCATTTCGTTGATGCATGCAACTTTTTGCTTTCCTTCTGACAGTATAT